CAGAGGAAGTTTTTTTCTCATTTCCTTTTTTTTTTTTTTTTTTTTTTCCTGAGAGTCATTCCCTATTAGAAGAGGAAACTTGTGTCCAATAAGGAATTACATATACCAGAGCAAGAAAATTGCTGCTCTGCTCTTGTACTTTACCTGAGTAAGTAGAGGCGTTTCCTAAAAATGGAGCATTTCTTAAAAATGCTGCTAGAAGGGAAAGCATTAGCGGTGCGCCCAGTGGGACAGTATCATGCTCGAAACTAAAGGTTGCATTCAGAAACTACTTGGGTTTTAAGCTCTCAGAAGTTAAATGCTCTGTTACTGGCCTCTGATCTTCTGGTTTTCTGCACTTAAAATGGGTGCTAATGCTGGAAGAGGCAGTCGTGGCCGCTTCTGCCGCTGTGCGGGCCTCTCCTTGAGCTGGCACCAGTGTCTGTACAGCTGAACAGCAGAGTACTTGTAGTGCTGATGGGGCTCGATGCCGGCTGGGCTGGGTTTTCCCCGGGCTGGGTCCCGATTCTCTTCATCCCACAGCTACACAGATGGTTCTGCTGGGAGCAGGGCAGGAACAAGCCGTGGGGTGAGGCCACGGGGATTCTTTGGGGAGTGGTGCAGCGCTCAGTGAGGAACTTTACTGAATGTGTCTCAGTTCCACATCAAGAACTGAATCGGTTGATGATCACGTGAGTCAAAATCTGTTCTGAAAGTTTAGCAATGGTCACCTTAAACGCTCTGAAAAGGTAAGTACTCCTTTGTCAGGTCACTGTGCTGTAGTGCTTAGGGCACGATTCAGAGATCAAACATCCGCTCCTCGGGGTGTGAAGTGGAAGCTGCTCTGTCACATACGGAGAGGAACATTGCCTTTCTTTGTGTCCTCGTGTGCTTCAGCTTCCTGTAGTCAGTGGAGTTGCAATAAATGTCAGGGCAAGTGACCATCTGGCTTGCAGCGTTTATCCTCAGCCCGACTTTGAGGTCTTCTCTGCAGGGGCATTAGCTATGAAATCCCAGCTTTGACCTTGCCCCTCTGGGCGATAGCCGAAGTGTGAGAAGCACCCGTGGCTACCTGTGCCTTAGCAACAGCCGCTCGCGCTGGGTGGCTGTTTGCTTTCTCCCGGAATGCAGGCGTGCGGTTGTGGGCTTGGCCTGAGTTGCCAGGAGAAAAACTGAAAGCGGTGGGGAGCCCACGGCCAGGGCGTGCCGAGCCGGGGCCGCTCTCACCAGCCGGTTGAGTATGGCCGCACCCGAGTGTTGCAGGTGAGTTCTTGCTGTAGAACCGCGCACGCACAAGAGTTGGTCAAGAGTCCTGCAGCGTTTTTGGGTGCCCTGGACAGGCTGTTGCTTGTTGGGGTGGTTGCACAAAGGCAGAAGGTTACTCAGGTGGTTGTGGAAAGCCAGAAGGTTACCGAGGAGCATGGGATGCTGTTTTTCAGTAGTGATGTCCAAAACTGGGCTTTTCAGCAGTTGTGCGTTGGGGTTCTAATGCTTTGGGTGACAAAAGCACAACTAAGGCTGCCTCTGCAGCTGTTAGAGGTGACTGGTAGCTCATCTTGGAAGTTTGTCATGGTTTTGATTGCTGTAACGCTTATTTTGGTGTCTCAAGTTTTGATAGCTCCCTCTAGGAACATCACCTCAAGCTTTTGGGGGGCGATATGTGCCGAATGCGTTGTAACTCTTCATTATTCACATCTTTTTTTCAGCTGTGAGTGCCTTTTAAAGGTTGTTAATAATAAGCTAGGAATGCCTCAGGAGCAGTGTAAGGAGAGCTGCTGTTAATGTTCACCGGCAACGCGGATAAAAGATGCGAAACTGGATTTGAACTCCTCTTTAATGGTCTGTTCACAGGCAGCCTGCTTCTGCGAAGTGGTACGACCGAAGGGACTATGTCTTTATTGAATTTTGCGTTGAAGACAGTAAAGACGTTAATGTAAATTTTGAAAAATCCAAACTCACGTTCAGGTAAGCACCTTGGGCCCAAGGCCTGGGGGGGGATAACACCAGAGGCTGTGCTGGTGCTAATGAGATGACGTTTTCCTTAAAGTAGCAAGTTCTGTTAATGAAGCCTGTTTGTTCCTTAAGACCCCTGCTAAACACCAGCATTTTTTTCTCTTAACAGTTGTCTTGGAGGAAGTGATAACTTTAAACATTTAAACGAAATTGACCTTTTTAATAATATTGATCCAAATGTAAGTATCCTCTGGACTCCCCTCTTCCCGTGTGCTTGGTGCTGTATCCTGAAAAACACCGTCCGTTCTTTAGGCTGCTTCCCCTGCCGTGGGCGATTGTTCCTTAGGCCCCAAGAGCGTGCTCAGACTCGCATCTGTGAAGCATCTCTGGGTGGTGTTTTTCAGGACAAAGAATAAATTCATGGCTTAGGACAGACGGGTCTCATGTAAGCAATTAGCGACGATTGCACTAACGGATAGGTGCTCTCTTCTTTTTCAGGAATCAAAGCATAAAAGAACAGACAGATCTATCTTGTGTTGTTTACGAAAAGGAGAGTCTGGCCAGGCATGGCCAAGGTTAACAAAAGAGAGGGCAAAGGTGGGTTTGGGCTCCTTGGTGGCCAGGGCGGTAGCACCTCTTGCCTCCCCCGGTTTTTAATTTTGTTTCATATTTGGGTCATGTTTAAATTACGAAGCAGTTAGTGGGTCACTTACTGTGCTTCTGATAAGAATGGTAGCTCTTATTAACCTTCCTTTATCTGAGCAGTAACAGCTCGTTACTCGCTTGTCCTTAAATAACTTCTTGTGTCGGTCTGCAGCTCAACTGGCTCAGTGTGGACTTCAACAACTGGAAAGACTGGGAAGATGATTCAGATGAAGACATGTCCAATTTTGATCGCTTTTCTGAGGTATGGGAAGAGGAGTACCTGGAGGTTTGGGCTTCCTTCTGGGCTGTGCGCAGGCAAGCAGGCACTGACAGCCGTAGGATGAGTCTTCCTTGACATTCCTGGTGCTTTCCTGGCTGCTGCTCTCTGCAGGCTCTGCTGGTTCGCTGGCGCGCAGCCGTTGCCAGCTTCACCCTGTGCCGTGGGCTGTCGGCACGGCAGTGACATGTCCAGTTTGTGCTTGCTATCAAATATTAAGTGAATGCCTGTCCTGTTGTAGATGCCAGCATGAACTCAGTGCGATGGTGGGTTGGTTTGCAAGGCAATTTAAATTTTTTTGTATGTTCACCTTGTAATTTCTGCGTAGGTGCAGCTGGCAGCTCTTGGTCGTAACAGTCATAACCAGTTTTTAGATTTTTACAGTGCTCCCCCAGCTTGTGTAGAGAGAGAGCGTAGCTGGCTTCACCCTGTAACATGGCCATTATCTCTCTGGAACAGATGATGAACAACATGGGCGGAGATGATGACGTAGACTTGCCGGAAGTAGACGGGGCAGATGATGTAAGTACTTTGTTTGCAGTAAAGAGATGCAGGGCTGGCGCAGCGCCCTGCGCATTCGCTGCTTGCTCGCTGAAGTCAAACTTGCATTCCCTCTTCAGCGCTGTTGAAAGTGCTGTTTTAAAACTGCAGCAAACCTTGTCTGGATAAACCATGGCATCTAGCAAAAGTCCCCTCCCTCCCCTCCAGCAGCGGTGCTGGGGGCCGTGGTGTCAGCGCTTGCGGTGCCCGGCCAGCTTGGTGTCACCCTCTGGAGCGACGGGTCTGTAGGCTCTGGCCAGTGAGGCCAAACTAAGCATGTCCTGAGGAACCTGGAGTTCCTCCAAGCACACGCTCTGACGGAGAGCACGCTTGCCACTGGACCTCCGCGAGGGCGTCTTGTTTGCTGGGTTAGCGGTGGTAGAGGGAAAAGCGCCTGCAAGCACAGCCTGCTCCAGTTTAATGCTGCTGCTTTTTTTCCAGGACTCACCAGACAGCGATGATGAAAGTAAGTTGACGTTCTCCTTTGTTTCCGCATGCTGTGCAGCAGCGTGAGCGCTCGCTGGATGCTCCTAGTGGAGCGAGAGCCTCGAGCAGGGCCAGCAGACGTTCCGTCCTGTCAGTCTTGCTAAATCCTGGCTGCGTGCTAACGCCAGTGCCTTGCCCGAGCGGTGTGAGACGACATAATCTAGCGAAAGCCTTTCCACACCAGCACAAAATACCAGTTTGACCTTCCCAGCCAGCTGCAGTCCTGGGGAGGCTTTGGCCTTAAGAGCAGCAGCGGGCACGTGCGGGGGCCACCAGTGTGCGTGGTGCTGGCCCTACTCGAGCAGCTTCTGCCTTTGCAGATCTTCCCTGCGAAGAGCCAGCTCCCTGCTTCGGGGCTGGGGTCGGAGGCCTTGAGCTGCCCCCCTGCCCTTCTTGGTGAGGGCTGGAGCTTCTGCTTCCGTCCCTGGGGATATAGTGGGGCTCCTGGTGGCTTTTTAAAAAAAAAAACAAACAAAAAAACCACCACCACCACAAACCCACCCACTAACGCTGTTCTTTTTCTCTCTAGAAATGCCGGATCTGGAGTAAGAAAAACTGTTGTCTTCAGGGTTTGGGGAAAGAACTTCATCACATTTCATAATTGAGATAAGAATTCCTGAGTTGATAGCCCTAAAGGGAGATCCTGCATCCTTTAACCCATTTTCAGTCCATTTTAAATGGCTTCACTGATGGTAGGTGTGTACCATTGCACGGGGCGGTCTAAAGCCACGAGAGGCAATAACGTTATGCATGAACCGTTTTCCAGACTTCCAAAACAAAACAAAACAAAACCAACCCCCTTGAGGTGTAGGCAATCGATACAGAACAGTTGCAATAAAGTTTACAGAGCCTCCTTGCCTCGTAGCAGATAAAATTACAATGGGAGAATCCTGAATTTACACCAGGTGGTAAATGAGCATTTTCCCTCCCCCCTCTGCGGCCCGAAATTGTACGGTTGTACCGGGAACAAAACTGGCTTGAACCAAGGATGGTGTCATTGGCTCACACAATTCCGCAGGCGCTGTGCGGTACCTCTGTGGTGGCTTCAGCTCTGTTTCCACTAAAGTTTGTACTGAAAAGGAAACCGATTTCTCCTCATTTGGTGTTTCATCGCGAGTCGTGTGCCCCCCGCCCCGCCGTAGGCGGCTGGCATCTGGCCCCCGGTTCTGTCTCCCCCTCTGGCTGCCCCGGGGCGCGGGGCCCTGCCTGGTTGGTGTTGCTCTACGTTTGACCAAATCCTATTTGCACTGTGGGTGTGGAAGCGAGGGGCAGACCCTGGGGTGTGCGCGGGCGGCTTCTAACTGGGCTGAAAAACCTCAATTTCTGTTCAGAGCAGCGGGGATTTTTTTTAATGTCTACATTCTTTCTAATAAACTGTTGAAGACTCCCTGGCTCTCCTTCCGCCTGGGCCCCTGGGTCTTCCGCGGTGGCCTTCTCGCCCGGCGGGGCAGCCCCGGTTCGCTG